AGTGGATTGCAACAAATAACTAGATTGCACCATGAAGATTGCACACTATCCGCTGCACATTGTACAACATATATTGCACAACGTAGAATGCACCATACAGGTTGCCCGACCTAGATTGCACCACGCATGCTGCTAGAAACATATCGTTGTGGCCCGACGTTGGTGAACGTAGATGTGCTTGTTCATATTGTGTATTCAAACATGTATAATGGGGAAACGCATGGGCCACCGGATACAAGAGACGGGCCCGGGGGCGCAACCTTTTGGCCTGACACAGGGGCAGGCGTTCGCGCAGCCTCGCCCTGTCCGCACGCGCAGCACGCAAGAAACGCAACACTTTCCCGGTCAATGTATCTCACGTTCATTTTGGCCCCATGAAGGGCTTGTTTTCCAACACCACCACCATCAGTTGGAGGGGGGAAGGGGCTGGACGACGAGGAGGTGGAGGACGAAGAGGAGGAGGAGGAGGAGGAGGAGGAGGAGGAGGACCCCTCCCCCTCCAGCTTATAGTGGTGGTGGTTGGAAACAGGCTCATTACCCCAACCTCCGATCAGAGAATGAGGGGGCCGAACTGTCGTTCACCATCCTTGGGTGCGTGGCTGACGTGGAATTCCGCGCCCGCGGCCCACCCGCAATCCACCCAAAGTCGCTTTGGCGAAAAATCCGTGTGTGTGTGTGTGTGTGTGTGTGTGTGTGTGTGTGTGTGTGTGTGTGTGTTTCGGCGGGTTCGTTGTCTGATGTGTTGAATAGAAGCAGCGCCTGCGGCGGGCTTCTTGAGAGTCTCGCAGGCTGCCGACGACCCCGCCGGCCCCTCACTCTTATCCGCAACTGCGGGGGCTATGGTATTCCCCCAGCAATGTTTGCACTTAGGGTGTCTTATTTTGCTTGCCAGTGGAACTGGGTGGGTACGACTGAGTTTCGGCTGGTGGGGTGCCCGTGCGAGGGAAATCTTGGGGGCCCTCAAGCGGCGCACAATAGTTGTACTGTCTAGTCCGCACCTTCGCCCCGTCCGATGTGGTCGACGTTCGTGCACCGACGCTCCGACGTAAAGTCCGACGTGCCTCCTCAGAGCCCCGAATCATCAGGGGTAACTCGGGTCACTGCTTAACTCGGGCTCGTTTTTAGGGAAATGCAAACTCGAGTTACCCCGGGTTCCGCGTCTCGGGCGTCCAGGGCCCTGAATCCTCAGGGGCAATTCGGGTCCGGGCTAACTCGGGCTCGTTTTTTTTGGGAATCCGAGCCCGAGTTACCCCAGGCCCGAGTTACCCCGGATAACTCGGGGACCCAACCTCTGACGCGAACTTGAAGTACATTCTCAAGTTGCCGCTCGACGCCTCCAGTCAGCCACGCGCAGAGGGGGGTGGGGGGAGGGGGGAGGGCTTCTTAGAGAAGCCCCTGCCCCTTAGAAGGCGCGGGCCTTACCTATAGATGTAAGGCCGGCGCCTCAGAAGCAGCCTCCTTCTAAGATTCTGAGGAGCGTTCCCCTCTCCCTCCACCCCCCTCTGCACACGCCGCCAATCTGACGTGCATCCTCAAGTGGCCGCTCGACGCCTCCAGGGTCATCCTCCTATAGGTGCCCGCCCGTGGGCGCCCCGCGGCCGCCCGCGGCCACCTCGCCTGCGGCACGTGGCTTGCGCGGCATCAGTTTGCGCCACGTAGCAGGCAGTGTCGAAGCGTCCTGGCTCGCCTAACAGCTTGGCATCGCTCGGACTTGTGCATTTTTCTCTCGGCGAGGACCATCGAGGAGCATCCTTGATCATTTGGCGAAAAAGCCACGCACGGAACCGAAACAAGCACAGGGAATGGACGTCCCAGCGATAGCCAGGTTTGCACCACGTATCAGGCAGTGTCGAAGCGTCCCGGCTCGCCCACAGGCCCACCAGAGAATGTCCCGAGGAGGCCCCCGCAGCCTCCAGAGCGCCCTTCACGAGGCCCAGAGGGCTCCAGCGGCTCCAACATGGAGCAAGAAGCTGGGGGCACCTTGGCCCAGGGGCACCCGTAGCAACCCCGGTTACTTACACGCTTGACGGTCCGCGCGGATCTCTTGGATTTGCGCTGGGTCTCCTTTGCGGCGCCTCCGGCGCCGCCCCTGGTGTCAAGCAGTGGCGAAGCGTCTTGGCTTGCCTATAGGCCCACCGAAGAATTTTCTAAGTGGTCTGCACGAAATGTTCACAGAACGCTTTGGCTGGGACCGTCTTGTTTTAGCACATCGGGTTCTGAAACCACTGTTTGGTAGGCCAAAAGGAATGCCGGGACGGTCGGTCCCTGCACACACACGCAGGTTGCACCACATGGTTTACGCCATTTAGTTTGCAACATGCAGACCGTACCACATGGTTATCTCCGACGACATAGCTTGCACCATCGAGCTTGTGCCACGCGGACGGCACCACATGGCGTGATCTCTTGCACCGTCCAGCCTGCGCCACGTAGATCGCACCACGTAGCTTACACATAGTTTGCACCACCCAGCTTACACATAGCTTGCATCTCGTGGATTGCACCACCCAGCGCACACTACATAGCCCGCATCCTCCTTTCATTCCTCTTTGTCGTCTTCCCCGTTCTCCCCTGACCCTTCCTCGTCATCCCCGCCCCCATTGTCACAGCCATTTCTCCACTCGTCCCTCTCCCCCATGGCAGGTGCGACCGCAAATGTGGCCTTTTAATGTCCCCTTTTCTCTCTGCATGACCGCATGTTCCTCCCGCCGGGCCCGGCCCCGAGGCCTCGGCGCCGGCCTGGCCCCCTCGGCGGGCTGCCCTTGAGCAGACGGGGAGGCGACGGGGACAGAGGGGGAGTTGGAGGGGGACGAGGAGGAGGAGGAGGAGGAGGAGGAGGACGAGGAGGAGGAGGAGGAGGGCACACAGGTCGCGGCCCCCCGCCCTGTGAGGAGGGCCGCGCTCCTCTCCGCCCTCCTCGGGCACCAAGGCCCGCCTTGGCCGCCTCCTCTCCGCCAGCCCCTCGGCCAGAGGGGGCGGGGCGGAGGGGGACGGCGGAGGGGGACGGCGGAGGGGGGCGGCGATCGGCGGAGGGCGCACGGGCACGGGGGGAGGAGCGCCGCGCGGGGAGCGGCGGAGGGGAGCGGGGCGGGGGCGGCGCGCGGAGGAGGGCGAAGGGCAGGGGCGGGCGAGGGCGGCACCGCGCGCGGGGCAGGGCGAGAGGCGCCGAGGAGGGGGGCCCTCGCGCCGAGGGAGGGCGGTGCAGGCGCCGCGGGCCAGCCGCGGGCGGGCCCGGCGGTCCTCTGGGGAGCCAATTTGAGACCGATGCATTGCATGTTCGGCCGGGCGCGCCTGCTCGGAGAATAGTCATCAGCCCCTGCCTCGGGACGAGCAAAAAAAGAAGAGCGGTCCCCGCGGGAGGGGGGGGCAGCCCCTGGCAGGGGGGGGGGAGGATAGCAAGGCGAGGATGGGGAGCAGGAGGAGGAGGAGGAGGAGGCGGAGGAGAAGAGGGATAGGGGAGATGTAGGAGGATGATGGGGTGATGAAGACGAGGACGGAGGAGGGAGAAGAGGAGGAGGAGGAGGCGGAGGAAGAAGCAGAGGAGGTGGAGGAGGGGGCGGAGGCGGAGGAGGAGGAGGAGGAGGGATGTTGGTGAGGATGAGAGAGAGAGAGAGAGGAGGAGATTCATGAGCAGACGGAACAGGGTGAGAAAGAGATGGGCAAGGAGGAGAAGGAGGACGAGGATGAGCAAGTGGACGGACATCTTCATGATCATCAGCAGCAGGAGCGGCAAGAAACATCAGTGGAAAAGGACATCGGGGAGGGAGGAGGAGTAGCAAAACAAGAAGGCGGAGGACACGCTGGAGATGGAGGTGTATAAGGAGGAGGAGGAAGCAGAGGAAGAGATGGGAGGAGGTTCGGAGTAGGGGTGGACACGGCGCAGGGTAAGGGATGATGAGCGGGGGGGAATTGACGAGAGGGAGTTGTGTTACTTATATGTTATAGTGATTGTGTGTATGTTGTGTGTATGCGGATGTGTGTGTGTGTTGTGTGCTGTGTATTCGTGTGCATACGCGTGTGCTGCATGGCCGTGTAGTGTTTCATGTGCACCCGCTTCTGCTGCATTTTACCGAGTGCGTCAGCCATGTCCTGATCCCCATCTGCAAGGCTAGGTGGTGTTCAAGGTGTGCCCCAATCTGGTACTCGCCCTGGTGACACTCACCTGGTCGCCGACGAAGCTTGCGTGTTGCCTTGTCCCTTGCGACCAGGTCTGGTCCCCAAGACTCTGTGACTTGATCGTCTCCATACTCGTCAGCCGTTGCATCTGTACCACTCGATTAGTGTCTGCTCATCTGGCCGCTGACGCAAAAGCGTAAACGAGGTGCGTGTGTGTGCGAATGTGTGCGTGTGTGTGTGTGTGTGTGTCTGTGTGTCTGTGTGTGTTTGCGTATGCGTGTGCCTGTGCGTGCGTGTGCGTGTGCGTGTGCGTGTGCGTGTGCATGTGGGTGTGTGTGTGTGTGTGTTGTGTATTGTGTATTGTGTGTTGTGTGTTGTGGGTTGTGGGTTGTGGGTTGTGGGTCGTGCGTGCGTGCGTGCGTGCGTGCGTGCGTGCGTGTGTGTGTGTGTGTGTGTGTGTCTGTGTGTCTGTGTCTGTGTGTCTGTGTGTCTGCGTGTCTGTGTGTGCGTTTGCGTGCGTGTGCTTGTGAGTGCATGTGTGCGTGCGTGCGTGTTTTCGTGTGGTGACCCCAGTCAGCTTTGGCGAGTCGGCCCAGGCTTCATACTGGGCGAGACGGCCAGGCAGGCCTGACCCCTCCATGGTCCCGTCCACGACCGCACATCAGCCAGGCCTAGGATCGGGATACATCGATCCAGAGCGTTCCGGAACTTTCCTGTAACGGCCGCGCGCCCGACACATCCTCGCGGAGGCAGAAGAAGAGGGCGAGGGGGAGGGGGAGGGAGAGGGGGAGGGGCATCAGGAGGAGGACGAGGAGGAGGAGGAGGAGGACGAGGAGGAGGAGGAGGAGGAGGAGGAGGTGGAGCCGCCGACGCCGCAACATTGCAGCGGCGCCGTGCGCACCTGCACGTGCCCGCCTGGCGCCATGCAGCCGCGGAAGCCGCCCCACGCGGCGACCGAGAGGAGCGGTCGGGGAGGGTCTGGGGACGAGGTGCCCCAAACAGCGCACATCCACCCTTGGCTTCCCCTCCCATTCTTGCAGTGGAAGCCAATGCCAAGAGACCCTGCTTGCCTCCAGGGTGCCGTGGGTTCTTGGGTCTCGATGGTTTTCCTATCGAAAGCGTGACGCTCCCACACCAAAAGTCCATGGATGTCTTGGGGCCTTAACATTCGGGTTGGACGCGCGCCTCCAACGAGGACATGGTACTACTATGTCCTTGTGCGTTCCAATCCACCTTTGGACTCCCTGAGGACCCCCATCCCTCAGCGCTTCGTGGCCCCATAAGGAGCTCCACCGAAGGCCCCCAGTGCCACCGCCCGCACGCGTTCCCCCCACCCAGTACAGCGCTTCGTGGCCCCATAGAGAGCTCCACCGAAGGCCCCGGTGCTACCGCCCGCATGCGTCCCCCCCACCCAGTGCAGCGCTTCGTGGCCCCATAGGGAGCTCTACCGACGGCCCCGGTGCTACCGCCCGCATGCGTTTCGCCCCACCCTGTGCAGCGCTTCGTGGCCCCATAGGACGCTTCACCGAAGAAGATATTCACAACTGCGGCACCCACAACTGCATATGTTTGGGCCCTGCGCCAGGAAAATTATGTTATTGTGGGCCCCTTCAATGTTACCACCCCAGTTGGGGAGCTACCCCTCGAAACCCCCAGGAAGTCGGCCAGTGGAGCCAAGGCCACGCCATTAGGGATCATACGGGGCCGGATCAACGGTGCTCATCGCTTCGCCGCCTCCGCCACTGCCGGAGCCACTCCTCCCCTTCACCACTCCCTTTCCCCTTCCTCGCTTCTCCCCGTACTTTCCTCTCCTCTCCTTCCCCTTCCTCGCTTCTCCCCTTCCTCGCGTCTCCTCTTCCTCGCTTCCTCGCTATTCTCCTCTCCTCCACTGCTCCGTCCCGTGCTGCCTTCTCCCTCGCGGTGCGCCTCCTCCCTTCCTTCCTCCCGCTCCTGTTTGTCCTACGTGCTCCTCCTCCCCACTGGGGGAGATGATTAAACTTCTCCCTCGCGATCCGCCTCCTCCCTTCCTTCTTCCAGCTCCTGTTCGTTCCACGTGCTCCGTCTCCCCACTGGGGAAGAGGGTTCTAGGTTTTTGCGTTGAAGGCGTAGCGTATAGTGCAGTGCGTCTGACCGCCGGAGGTTACGAGGTCATGCAGACACGCGCCTTGAAGTTGAGAGGAGGGCATCCCAGCACAGGTGCCCTCGATGTTGACCGCAACAGAAGTCGGGGCTGGCTGCAGATACCAGCAGGAGTTCTACGGGCAGCTGCGGAGCAGACGAGGCCGTCTGTTGTAGATGGACAGTTCCCGGGGCAGACGCCGTCGCTCTGTAGAGCACCCGAGCATCAGGACGAACGTGTGGGGGGCGGGGTGGGGGGGGAAGCGAAGAGCGAAGAGGCTTGCGGAGCAACAGAGGATTCCCCAACCCCAGGCTGGGACGTCGTGAGAGGAGGGCGTGAATTATGATTACCGTTGTGGAAGCCCACGTGCTTCAGGCGGTGCTCCCATCTGGTGGCTCACGCCGGGGAGAGGCGCGCGTCCTCGGGCAGGATCCCACATCCCATGCACAGCTGCCACACCGTGCCCGCGCAACCAGCGAGAGCACTGGTCGAGGAGAGGCCATCACAGAGCAGGCGCCTTCGCCACGTTTGCCATGAGCTGATGAGCCCAGACGCCACGGCTGGGTCAGGACGCAGTCAAGACGCGGGAATAAGGACCACTTCGGGCTCAGGAGGGGTTCTGGTCGTTCGATCTACAGCGTGCCCTGTAGTAGCACGATGTAGGGGAGGACGGGAGGACAAGAGAGCGGACTGTTTCAGGCAGCTGTTCGCAGCGGCGTTTGTTCGAACTTGAGCGTGCACGCGTGCGTAGACACATCAGCCGGGAGGGCAACCTGTGATTGCCCAGAGATCCGCATGAGGACCATACGTTCTGGTCCACAACACGGGCAAAGGGAGGGAAACGTGAGGCCGTCGAGAGGGGAAATGAGGGAGAGGAGAGGTGAGGCGAAATGGGCAACATTAAGGGGTATAGGCTAAGGGGGGATGCATCGAACATTTACCGCCCACTCATCGTTAGGCCCGATAGTCTACCTTCGCCCAGGAATGCTCGGATTCGTCTTCGGTGGCCGTTCGTCGATCTGTCGGCGATGTGTCGCCGACTTCGGCGCGGTCGGCTGCTGCTGCGTCTCTGCCGCGCCGCGGAGCGTCCCTCCCTGCCGCTGCAGGCAGACTCGGCGTCGGTCGGTGTTGGTCGTCGTTCGCCGTGAGTTCGGTTGGTTTCCGTCCTTGTTCGAAGCAGAAAAACAACATATACACATATTTGGCGCTCCGCGCGGATTTCTTAGATCCGCGCCGCCCCCCCCCCCCCCCTTGGCGGCGCCTCTGGCACCGCCCCTGGCGCGCGGAGCGCGCCAGGGAGGGGGGTCCGCAGATCCAGAAACTGTGTGTGAATCCCCCTACTTTCCTCCTATCTTGCTCATATCCATCGCCCCTTTCGGCTCGGATGCAGGTACTCGTACTCAGAGGGTGAAGAGGACAACTACCATCATCCTCATCACGTCTACCTACGGACACTTTGGGGGTGGGTTCGGTCCTTCGGTCCCCCTCCCCCTCACACAGGTTATCAGCCTTCTCTGTTCAAAACGCAATCGCTCCAACTTCCGCGCTTCCTGAGCCCCCCACTCAGTCGCGATGGAGGGCGGTGCGCCTCTCGGCCCCGCGCCTCTTCGCGACGGCGTGGCGGACCCCGTGGCGCGCAACTTGGAGCAGGAGATTGAAGTTTTGATGGACGTGCATGGCATCCCGCGAGCTGATCGTGTGGCCATTTCTCCAGGTACTGAGGGTCTTGACGCTGGACAAGGACACGCTCCTGGTACTCCTCAGTTCCAGGCCCCTTCCTCGTCGTCAGTCGTTCATCCCGTCGCGTCGCCCGTCGTGTCGGATGCAGCGGGAGACCGCAGCTCGGGTGCTGCGCAGCATCTCTTTCAGAGCGCTGAGGTCCTCGTGCCACGGAATGATCCGCCCAGAAATGCTGTCAGAGCGAGACACCCTGTGGCTCCTGGAGTTCCTCAGCTCCAGACTCCTCAACCTCCTCAAAATCTGACCCCGACTTTTCGGGCCCCTGCTGGGGGGGCCCACTCGGAGGCTCTTTCGCCTCCACAGGGAAGTCCCGTGCAGAGAGGCTCTGGAGGATCTCGCCGCTGGGGCGGGAGTCACGCGAACGCCGGCGCGCCAGGACGGAACCCAGTCACCCGTGCCGTGACGCCAGTCCGAGAGCACGTCCGCGCCCTCGAGTTTCGTGCTCAGACCCGCGACGGCGCAGCCTTCGCCGGTCGTCAAGTCACTGTTTCTCGTTCTCGCGCAGCTTCGCCTCGTGACAGACGTGGCCCCGAACAGTTCCAGATTGCAGCCCAGGATTTGCACAGCCGCAGTCCCTCCCAGAGGGCACGAAGACGCGCTGTCAGCTCACCTGTGGCTGCGCCTGCCGCCGTCCCCCTAACAGATATGGCTGAGCTAAGAGACCAGGTACAGACGTATGTGGAGCATCAGACTGCTCTCGTGCACCAGGCAACCGCCACTGAGACTGCGATCTTGCGATCGGATCTCGCTAAAGGTTTGCAGGAAGTCGACGCTAGGTTGTACGAGGATCGTCACGTCATGTGTCAACTCGTTTCGAAGGTCGATGCTGTTGCCGCTCAGCGTGGCCAAGACCGCTCCGAGCTTGCCGCTGTGCACTCCGAGTTCTCTCATTTGGAAGCACGTTTTATCCATATGCGTGACCACAATGATACTCGCGCCAAGTTTCTCCACGATGAACTCCAAGCAGTTGCTGCCGCCAGCGCCGGCGCGGCTCCCTCAGCTCTCCAGGGCCAGATTAATGAGCTTCGTGACGCCACGATGTCTGCTACATCTGATCTTCGTGCCGAGACCCAACAAGTCCAACAAGATCTCTACGGCAAACTTTGTCAAGCCGAAAATGCTGTCAACCAGCGTTTCTCTGATTCCCAAGTTGATTCGATCCCAAAGCTCACCGCCAGAGTCCTGACTCTCGAAGAGGCCGTGACTGAGCTGCGCGTTGTAAGGGCCCAGACTGGCCAGCTGGTGCCCCCTTCTTCGGTTGACGACCCCGCCGTACTGGCAGCCGTACAACGGACCGTGCGTGCGGAGGCGGACCACGTGCAAAGGCAGTTACACGAGCTTCGCTCTGAGAGGGATGCTGGAAAGGCACGGGTATCTGAAGTGCAGACCCGCCTGGCGGATACGCAGCAGGAGCTGTCGCGCGTAAAGGCCGACATGGATCAGCTACGTTCTCTTCTTACAGACCTTTCCCAGTCTACTCAACGACAGTATTCCGCGCTTACAGACAAGACCCGCGAGGTCCAGAGGAATGTTGATGGTTTCTCAGGCTGCATCGAACAGTTGCAACGTGACAACATCATTCTCGAAGACCAATTCAAGGCCCACGTAGCTGACGCTACACAGCACACACCTGTACCACCACAAGCCCCGACCTCCAGACGCACTTCTCCCGGCGCCCCTGCCTCGAACGCGGGGGGTGTGCAGGGGGAAACCCCAGCCGCTGGCTACCAGCCACAGGCCCGACGTGTGTCACCGTCAGCTGCCAGCAGGACCGCGGCCCCGGCCGCTTCCGCAGCACCTGCGCAGGAGGCAAACTTCGACGCTGCAAGCTTTCGCACGCACTCACCAGTGCCCAACGTCCTTGGTGCTACTGTCATGCAGTCTCAATACACCATCGGAGGGAGCCCTGTTGCTACCATCACACCGGTGAAGGAGAGCGAGCGTGTGCGTGTTCCAGGTCTTCCCAGAATCGGACATGTTCTTGAGTGGCAGCACGCAGTCCGCAAGGCCTTCTGCAGTGCCTCTGGGCGTCCAGATGCTGCATACAAGTTCTTCTGTGTTGCAGAACAGCCCGGTGTGACACTGGATGATCTACAGGACAG